CGAAATACTTCTTTCTGAATGAAGTTATTATCTCCTGACAGTTAAGATTTGAACCATCATTTAACTAAACCGATTCTCAGATTTTCGCTTTGTCATATTAAAATGAAATACTTTCTTCTAAACGAAAGTACTTCGTAATATACTCAATACACAGCGACCTAGACTAGTAACATGCAAATTATCTAGAAACTATCCTAATTAGTGAACGCATATAAACTGTGAAGTACAAAGCATAGTGTGTTTTTATTAAAAAACACTATACGAACTTTACGCTGTGAACAAAAAACATCATGAACAAAAACGAAACAGCAACAATGCACAAAATGTTGTGTTCGATAAACAATAAAACAGACTACCTTCGGAAAATGATCACTAACAAAGGTGAGTACCTTCGGGAAATGATCACTACCAAAGGTGACTACCTTCGTGTAAATATTGCTAAATAGTTTACCATCTTCATGAAAAGAACACAACGCAAGCATTGAAAATTTGACATGAGATTTCGGAAACAGTACACTATTTTAGTGTATCGCATATGTCACTTTCATTATTAGTGTACTGTTTGTAACATTAAAAATTAAATTTTTAACAAACATTAAAAAATGTTTGATGTGTTGTGGACATGAACAGTACACTACGATACTGTACTGCTCATTTTCGTTTACTGATTGTAATTTTCCCAATTTAAGTAGTTAATTATTTGTAGATAAATACACTCAATCTATTCTCCCTTAATTGAACGTTAGGGATCTCTTAAATATCATAGAGCCATTATTCTCATTGTAGTATCAATAACGGATCACAATATGTGTGGAAAGTAAAAATAATCTACTTTTAAAAAATTGTGAGAAAGATTAAAAAGTAAATCTCATATCCATTGTTCTTGTATATAATATACCATTTTAAAGGTAATTAAATTACACCAACTGCGGCATTTGCATTTGAGTTTAATTTCTAACATATTTTCTTCCACACCAAAGTAGAACAGTTCGTTTACCAATATTTAATATACAGAATATTAATGTCTGATAGTATTAATTGGTTTATATTTTTATAATTAATTATTGATTGTAGATTTAATTATTGGAACTGTATAAGGGTCATTCTTTTACAACTCGGACACCTTTTTGACCTCATAATCTCCGATTCGGCTGAAATTTTTTTTATGAGCTCCTTTCATAACCCGTATTTCGGGAAAAAATTTTGTGATTCTTTTCCTAGGAGATATGGACCCATGGGGTTTTGAGAATTGGTATAGTAGACACATGTTCAAATGGCTATATCTCAAGTTCTATAAAAGGTAGAAACTTGAAATTTACAACGTTTCAAAGATAATTGATTGAACTTTTATGAAATTGTTTAAACAATTAAAATTGTTAATATTTAAGTACTAATAAATTTAGTATTAAATTTTAGTTAAATTTAAAAAAAAATTTTTCTCAAAACTAGTCTTTAAATTTTCAGATTTTATATTTTATTTAGATTCAGTTTTAAATTTTACTAAGAAATAAAAATTTTCAGGAACCCATTATTTTTTGAAATGTTTTAATATTTATTTTTCTCCCGCAAAACACATCAAGCGCATGCGTACTACATTTTCATTGAATGTATTTTCAAAGAATATACTACATATATTCTTATATAATATTTTTGATTTCGATTAATAATAAAATTCTACATAAAATACAAAAATTTCAGGACGATATTGTGATTAGAAGTACTTTTAAAAATTTATTTATCCTTCATATCAAACCAAACACATACACACGATTTTTCAGTAAAAAAAAAAAATGAATATGTCACACAATTTTTTTTTTTTATTTTTAATTCAAATTAATATATAAATTCAACTTCAAAAATAAATATTTCCACTGTGATATTCATTTTAGAAGTAATTAAAAAAAATTAATTAATCAGGTCTCCTTCACGTTACTCATACGCACCATAGTACCATAAAATCAATTTTCGAAGAAAAACTATACAAAAATGTTTACTTTTTATTTTTAAAATAAATGTATACATAAAACATAACATTTTAAATTAGTTCCGCATTATATCTGTTTTTAAATTATGAATTTTAACATAATTAAACCGTTTAATAAACCTTTTTCTTATATAGGTGAATTAAAAAGTTAATTAGTTTCATACAAGCCGATCTATGTTACCTAGAAAACTGCAGCACATAATCACAACTATCTTTCTCGGTGCAGTGTTTTTTTGCTAAAGTTAGAAAAATACTCTGCACAGGAAAAAAATGTTATAGGAAAAAAACTGTAAATAAATCGATATGGAGAGTTTAGATACTTCTATCTTATAAATATACTGGAATCAAATTAGGTATAAATTGTTAGGTAAGTATGACAAGTTCTCAGTTTCTGTTTTGAAAGCGAACAAACAAATAAGAACATTTAAATAATGGCAAAAGTTGGAAAAAATAATATGAATCTACGTCAATTGAAAGACTTGAAATGTTTCAATCCGCTGAAGTTAAAAATGCATCCAAAAAAGGCCAAAGTAAGGCAAGTTTCAGATTATATTCTGCATATGTTGCGAATGCCTGCGACTAAAAGAAATCTGGAGAAAAAAAATTAATACGATTAATGGCAGATGGAGTGAATATAAAAGCACTGACTGCATGCAGTAAAAAGCCGATAAATAACTATAAAGATTGCCTACAGCTCATGATTTGCAATACTTCACGCACAGAATGTTTTCTCAGTTCCTGCGCCAAATGTCCTGGAACTGAAAATATCAATGAACAACTTCTGGAGATATTTGATGACAACATGATTGACACCGTTACATACAAACAATGGGTTCGTGAAGAGAGAAGTACATTAAAAACGTTGACATCACAAAAAGACTAATATTTGCAATCCTTAACAGATGGTTTAGACAAATTGCTGTTGCATTCTTTTATCGTTAAAAAACAGGCAGACTTTTTAAATGATAAGAAAAGCAACTTAACAAAAACTGAATGCATAGTTTTGCGTGATTTTTCCGAAAATCATGCTTTTGTTGTTCAAAACTCTGTTCAAGGTATTCACTGGAATAATAATCAGGCAAAAATTCATCCGTTTGCAATATACCACCGTGATGAAAATCAAAAACTAGAAATAAAAAATTTTGTCTGCATATCTGACTGTTTACATCACAACACAACTGATGTACATCTGTACATTTGAATATTAAAAAAATTATTTATTTTTCCGATGGATCGGGTTCACAATATAAAAATAAAAAAAATTTTATAAATTTAACTCATCACAAAGCGGACTTTGGTTTGGAAGCAGAATGGCGCTTTTTTCCAACGTCACACGGCAAAGGACCATGCGAAGGCTTAACTGCCTTACCCCAAATTCCAAAAAAGTAATAATGGCAAAAATATTTTCTTCTTCAGACATTACCGATTATGTATCAATAATGAAATGAGAATTAATAAAATCAATGTAAAAACCATAAAAAAAATATTTTGTTTTTAGCTCCTTACAGTTTCTTTCCTATAACATTTCTTACCTGTGCAGAGTATTTTTCCAACTGTAGCAAAATAACACTTCACCGAAAAAGGTAGGTGTGATGTGCTGCAGTTTTCCAGGTAACATAGATCGGCTAGTACGAAACTAATTAACTATTTAATTCATCTATATAAGAAAAAAGTTTATTAAACGGTTTAATTATGTTAAAATTTATAATTTAAAAACAGAAATAATGCGGAACTAATTTAAAATGTTAATATTTTATGTATACATTTATTTTAAAAATAAAAAGTAAACATTTTTGTGTAGTTTTCCTTCGAAAATTGATTTTATGGTACTATGGTGCGTATGAGTAACGCAAAGGACACCTGATTAATTAATTTTTTTTAATTACTTCTAAAAGGAATATCACACTGGAATTATTTATTTTTTAAGTAGAATTTATATATTAATTTGAATAAAAAACAAAAAAAAAATTTGTGTAACATATTCCTTTTTTTTTTACTGAAAAATCGTGTGTATGTGTTTGGTTTGATGTGAAGGATAAATAAATTTTTAAAAGTACTTCTAATTACAATATTGTCCTGAAATTTTTGGGTTTTATGTAGAATTTTATTATTAATCGAAATCAAAAATATTATATAAGAATATATGTAGTATATTCTTTGAAAATTCATTCAATGAAAATGCAGTTCGCATGTGCTTGATGTGTTTTGCGGGAGAAAAAAAAATATTAAAACATTTCAAAAAATAATGGGTTCCTGAAAATTTTTATTTCGTAGTAAAATTTAAAACTAAAACTTAATAAAATATAAAAACTGAAAATTTAAAGACTAGTTTTGAGAAAAATTTTTTTGAAATTCAACGGTTAATATTAGTACTTAAATATTAACAATTTTAATTGTTTAAACAATTTCATAAAAGTTCAATCAATTATCTTTCAAACGCTGTAAATTTCAAGTTTCTACCTTTTAAAAAACTTGAGATATAGCCATTTGAACATGTGTCTACTATGCCAATTCTCAAAACCCCATGGGTCCATATCTTCTAGGAAAAAAATCACAAAATTTTTTCCCGAGATACGGGTTATGAAAGGGGCTCATAAAAAAATTTCAGCCAAATCGAAGATCATAAGGTCAGTTTTTGCCAAAATCCGTGCGGTTTGTAAAAGAATAAGCCATAAGCAAACTGAAATATTACAGCAAACGGTATGATTCCAAGTTCTACACGAAAAAACTATTTCATGAAATATTAAATGAAATCAAAATTTTTGTCAAAATATAAATTTTTTAAAAAGTTAATATTTATTTAATGATCTCAGGTTAAGTGACATATCAGTTCCACAAGTTGAACCAAATAAACTGGATGTGATATAGACTTTTATATAATATATATTAAGTTTTAGTTCAGCAAATAAAAATCGAGAAATAATGTTTGATAGGTAAATGTTATTGAAAATATCAAAAAAAATTTAATTCATAAAATTTTAAAGTGATGTAACTTATCAATTTTTTCTTTTTTTAGATTTATGTTCATTATGCAAAAATGCGCCTAACGATTATAACAAGAAAACGCTCTCCAATCATATTAGATTTTGATTCAAATAAAACAGTGTACAATTTACTTGAATATCTCTGCAATTCGACAAGCATAGGGGGTAAACCCGAAAATTACTATCTGTTATTGATTGGAAAAATTTTAGAATATCCAATTAAACTGAAATATTACAGCATTGATGGAAACTCAATGCTAGTATTACTGCCAAAATCAAAAGCTAAAGGGAAGTTATCTATTCATCAGTACTGCTGTACGTCATTTGAATCCCTTCCCACTAACGATGATGATTTACCATGCACTTCTTCTGAAGCAAAACGACGTGAAGAATTAAAAAACGCTTCTAAAGAGTATATGACACAAAGCTTAATTGAGGAATACAATTTACTCAGCGCTAATGTCATCAAAACTAATCAGAATGATAATGAAAATAAAGGAACTGGTTTGAAGCATAAACATGTTTTAGCTCCTTTGTCTCCACTTGAGTTACTTAGAAGTGATATTGTGTCAGAGAATAGACTCAAGAGGAAACCAATTCGTGTATCACCTCTTGCGGTTACTGTAGATAGGCCAAACAATCTATCAAATTCTTTACTTGGTTTACATAGCTGCGCCATAGACTATTCACAAAAAACGTCAAGCAATATTCAAACTATTCCATCATCACTTGAGATGCTTAGCAGCAACGCTGGCGAAAATAGACCTATAAGATTTGAAAACATGGACTATAATATTGATACTGAGGCGACTGCAACATATGATGAATGTCTAGCAAAATTGCTTGAAGTTATGAACTATACACGTGTAGATGAAATTAAAGATGTTCTTAATAAGGGTTTCACAAGCCTGGATCGTGCCGTTGAATATCTTCTTGATCAAAGCAATCAACCTACATCACATAATGAGACATATCTTGAACATTTTCCACCTATAGCTACAGTTCGTCCATTTACTTCCATACCAACACGTCAACTCAGCGATCCAGTGTATAATCGTTCTCAATGGCATAGATCTATAAGTAGTGAAGATATAAGTACTGGTCACTCTTCACGCAAATCTTGGCGTAACGAGGAGTTTATGGACTGCGCTAGGGAATGGCATGGAAGTAATAGTAATGGTGCAGAAATTTGGAGCAAATACAAAGCTAGACATGATCAGGCATTTTCTTTAGTAAAAGCACACGCTTCAGCTGAATGGAGTCTTGAAGACGAATTTAATTATGCTACGGATCAGTTGGGAATAGAAATTAATATTGTTGATGATGACAATAAGGAAAATGAATTTGAACCAGATGAAAGTATGTCACTCGAGGAAATTGAAGCTGAAGCCTGGTGTGGAGAACCTGAGGAAGAGGGTGCTTGGGGAGGTCATATTGAAACTAAAATTGATTTGGCTACAACGACAATAAAAAAGAAAATTGTGCGCAAAAAACATGGTGGTGATGAATTTCAAAATACAAATAATGCAGCGCATAAAGAATACGAAATGGACTGGAAAAAGAAAAGAAATTATAGTTGTAGTTATCATGGTAATATAACACCATCTAGTTATGATGGAGCAAATAAAAACTGGCGTGAGATATTTAAATCCTTAGAAAAGGATAGTGATTTAAATGCAGAACAAGAAAGAAAAATTTTTCGTAATAAGATTATCAAAGGTATGACTTCAAAAGAGAAAGCAGAGGAAGGCTTTATGAAGCTAAGTTTCTTACGCAATGAACCGTTTTTCGTAAACTTAACCTTTATACTCAAGACACGCCCAAATTTACTGCAAAGTATTTTTACAAAAGTACCAAAAAATAAAAAGATAAACTTACTTGATATAGTTCAGAACGACAGAGAATTGAATAAACTATTGACAGAAATCCAAAACATTCAGTTTTTTGACACACTACTTACTGAGAAGGATTATATGGCAATTGCTAAAATCGCCACGTTCGGTTTCCCCCATGATGCTATTATATTCATTTACGTAATGTGTGAATGTGATGAAGAAAATGCTTTGCTTCTGTTAGAGACCTTTGATAGACTCTACGGTTCCGAGAGCGACGAAGAAGAATGTGAAAATGAAGAAGGGGAGGTTGAGGACGGGAATGAAGGGGAAGAAATTTTCGAAATGGAAGCGAATTTCGGAACAGAACAAAATTTAGAAATAAAAAAAAATTTCAACGCAGAAAAATGTAATAATAAAGACACAGACGTAGAAGATGATAAAGATGAGAATAGAAATGAGAAAAAGGATGAGCAAAATTATACAGACTAAAATAAAAATAAGTAAGAAAATATTTACTTTTTAAACTAACTATTATGATAGTTATTAACTAAAACATGTATTTACTTCATTTTATTTTACTAAACAAATTTTTGCTTTAATCCATTTGTTTAATGCTGCATTAATTTTTATAAAATATCATTTATTTCTTTTTACATAAAACATATTTTTTATAATTTATTTTCTATATTATTATTACAGGTACCAGACATCAATTTAAAAAATAATAAATTTCTTTATAAGCTATTAATTTGTGCTTTTTACGCAATGCAATATTATAAAAAATTATGCATTTATTTAGAAATTATAATATTATGAATCATAATACAAAGATGCTATAAATATTAACAAAACAAAACAATGTAATTACGATAATAAATATTTTAAAATTTACTTCTCAAAAAAAAAAAAAAATTTGTGTATTTAGATAATATATAATACACATTTTTGGTAACCACTTGGAACCTTCTACTTCAATATTAATAAAAAATTTTAATTGGTGTATATAAAACAAAAATCGCAAGAACAATTTTTGAGATTATAAATAGGAAACTATAAGCAGTTATAAGGAATATTAAGATGCTGATTAATAAAATATAAATTTTACACATACTACATAAAAATTTATAAAATATTATGTTCTTCGAATAAATATTATTACTTTTGAAAATTAATTTAATCTATATAGTTACAAAGCATATCTCATCAGAATTTTTTTTTATTCAAATATATTATACTGCGTGATTCAATTATTACAAATCTTATAATCATCTTTATAATCATCTTTAGAACAATATATATATATATATATATATATATATCAAAAGAAAACTGATAATGCTACATTTGAAAATTATTAATTTATAATATATTTTATATAAATCAGTGTTGAATTAATTTTATAAAATAAAATAATGAAATTAACAACAACAATAACAACTTTATTGTTAAATTTTAAAATTTATTGCATACATGTCATGTACTATTAATTATTTTTAAATACACATATATAAAATTCAATATATATATATATATACTAATATATATACATTAATATATATATATATTAATATATATATTAATTTTAATATTAATTTTTTTTAACATTAATATTAGTGTTACATATACAATAATTTATAAAGTTTGATGTTTTCCTATATAACATATTTTCATATATATAGTTATACAAAAATAGCTATTTTAAAATTAATTTAAGAGATATAAGAAATAACACAAAATATTAGATTATAATACAAAAGCTAGTTTAGTGTTTCTATTATGAAACTTTTAAAAGCTTTTCAAAAAATTCGCTAAAAATTTTCCAGTGTATTACCATTTCGAATCTAGTAAAAGTTTATTTGATTATAACTATAAATATTATCACACCATTATAAATAGAAAACTAATTAAACACAAAAACTCTATATTTGAATTTAATTAATTTTTCTACGATAATACAATTATTAATATAGTATTTAAAACAAATATAATAATTTGAATTTTTTTTACATACCATTACATGTAATAATGTTAAACTAAATGAGGATTAATAATATATACTCTAAAAGTTGAATAACTTGACTTAATATATATTTAAAAATATATATTAAGTCGTTAAATACACACGAAATCAGTTATAACTAATACTTTGCACATAATTACATTGTTTAAAAATTTTTATAAATATATTAGAATATTTAAAAATTTAAAGAAATTACTTTATAATAAAAACAGAAAATTATTTATTTTAATACCCAAGCAAATTTCTAGAGTTAATGTTTTTTTGGCCTATAAGGTCAATATATTTAAAAATCAAAACAAGTTTGTTTAATTCTATTTTTAAAAATTTAATTTTAAATTATGTAAATATGATAATTTAACTTCATAAAAATAGAATTAATGCAATCTATTTTAATGTTTAAATATATTGAACTAAGCACCTATAAAAAGTATCAAAATTAAAAATAATTAGGTTATTAGGAATTTATTTGTTTTTGAAACAATAAAAAATATTTACGTATGCTTTAAGATATTTAATTTTTAAATTTAAAAATTACAAAAGTTTAAATAAAACCGATAATTATAGAATTATGTATACTTAAAACTTTAAGAATTATTGAAAACATAACCATATCATAATTTCATATAATTAATTTTTAAAATAACAAAATTAATTTGTTATATGAGCTTATACAATAATACAAACACATTAATGAAAAATATTTTTAAATTTTTTTAAAAGATTGCAAAAAATATTATTTTTGAAATTTTTAGAAGTACGTATTTTAAAATTCAAATGAAGATATTTTAAACAAACAATTTAAACAAATTTTTAAACTTGTTTAAAATACTAAATTAGTTTTTATATATATTTAAGCAAAAATTTCCACATACATATTAAAAAAGAGTTTTAGTATCAAAATATTTTGGTATAAATAAAAATAAAATAATATTATTGTAATATTAACAGTGTTTACAATAATATTATTTAAATATTATTGTAAATAAATGAATTTTATTATACTTCAAAGTTTTTTCAAATACATAATTATTTAAAAATAATTGTTCAAAATTAATGTAAAAGATATAAGAATTTTAAAAATATTACTATTAAATTATAATACCAGAATTAGTTTAATGTCTCTATTATAAAACTTTTCTATTCTATTTACTATTTCGACTTTGGTAAAAGATTATGTTATTATAATTATATATATATTACCACACCATTACAAATGTAAACTAATTAAACACAATAACAAAACAAAACTTTTCTTATAAATTAATTTAAAATGAAAAATTAAAGAATGACACAAAATTAGATACGAAATAAAACTTAAATCTTTCTACATATTTTTGCTTAATGCTGAAATAATGTATTTCTATACAAAAACTTATATTTAAATTAAAATAAAAAAATTACATTAAATTGATTTTTCAAAATTATTTTTATTATTAAACAAAAGTTTTTAAAAATTGATAAATTCGTAAGCATTTAAAGAAAAAAACGATAAAAGTCGTGAGGTGAAGCAAGGAAATAATTAACTTTTAAACTATTATGTGTCTTTTTCTAATAATTAATCTAAATAATATACATAAAATAATTATTATATTCAATATAATATAATATATTGACATTATACATATATTTACATTATATATATTATACATAATATAATAAATTATCATTGTAAACTTAAGTTTGTTTTAAAAAAAATTTTTAACAGTTTTTAAAAGACTATCACTTTATCACTTTTTATGAATAAAATTTATAAAATTAATCTCTTATGTATATTATTAGTAAGTTTTAGAATGTTGAAACCAAAAATGAAATAATAATTTTAATCAAATACATAAATATTGAAAATTACTTAAAAATATAATACATCGTTTTATTATTATAAAGTTAATTATTAATTTTAATATTTAAAAAAAAAATTTAGTGATCAATTTAAAAAATCATACATATATGATATATTGATGGAAAATTAACTGTAGCTATGAAAACATTATAGTTTTTAAGTCGGTAATTTCTTGGATAAGTTATTTTATATTAAAAATAAAATTCTTAATTCAATCGAATTAAAAATTTAATTAGTAGGAGAATTAGAAAATTTAGAGCTTTAAATTTGTGTTATAAAACATAAAAGGCTCCAGTACCTTATAAACTCATTCATAGTGTCAGTAGCGGTTAAAGCGGAAAACTTTTTGCATTACAAATAAATTTTGTCATTATCTATTTTTATTTCTTAAAAAAATTTTTTTTCCATTTAATATTATATATAATTATTTTAAATTTCATTTGTTATATTACAAATCATAAATTACATGACGGTTTCCATATTTGGATCCTTCAGAAGACAAAGTTTAAAGTTCACTAGCTTAGTTCGCTATCGTTTATAATAGTATATAAATACATATATGAAATATTTAATTACTAAAGCTGTTATTATATTATAGTTTATAAATAATAATATAAAAGTTCATGTGATATATAATCTTTATAAAAAACTCCATTGAATAAAAATAAATTAAAACAGTTAATTTTAATCATAGTATATATACTATATTAAGATATATACATATACAGTATGTATACTACATATTATACTATATACTATATTACTATATATAATTTTTACTATTTATTATATAGTACACTATATTAAGAAATATTGTAAACACATGGAGTATGTATAGAATATTTTTTAATATAGTATATATACTATAATGGAAACTAACTTTACACGTATATATATCAATAAAAATCTCTTGCAGCATTCTATTTTTTATAATTTATTTTTTTTTAACCATAAACTTTTGATTTAGTTAAATTTAAAAATTCAACTTGAAGAATTTAATAAATTCAAATATAAAATATTTTATAAATATCAGTAACACCAATATTATATATGTATAAACATTTTTTTACTGGATCATAAATCCGCACCGAAAAAAACAAGCATTTTAAACATAATATTGATACACTATATCAGAACAATTGATTCAATGGAGATTTTAATAATAATTTAGAACTTAATTTAAATTAAACTAATTATTATAGATACATTCGAAAACTGAATTAAGAACATATATTTTGATAAGAACAGCAATCTAAAGTTAAAATATTTTAACAGTTTGATTCTTCAACACAACATTCTTCAACACAATTTTTAATATTATATATCATATATACAAAATTATGTAAAGTATTAAATATTAAATTTTAATAAAGTATCATATATATATATATATATATATATAACGTTTATTGACAATTTTATTATTTTATCCATTTGTATAATGTACAATATATAAATAATAAAACTTCAAATGAATTTGTAATTAATTATTAAAAAATATGTTTAAAATATGTGTCTATAAAAAATGATTTAAACAAAAAATGCTTTGAATGCCTATAGAACTTCAAATTCTGACTAAAAACTTCACATTTTCATTTTCTAAATTTAAATTTTCTATATTTATTAATAACAACACTGTTGAAATTGCCGGTGAAAGCCTCATATTAGTATTTTTTTAAAAATTATTTAAAAATTACTTATTAATTTAAAGTTTAATAGCTTTTAGTCAGTTTCAAAAGATTGTCGTTAAAAAAAGTATAAACTAAAAATTTAAAATTTTAGTAATATATAAAAATATAATTATAAATTCTAGACTTTTAAATGTTAAAATATATTTCTCAAAATTATA